ACTCACTTATCACTTTCGACTCGCGCATTTATTGGTTTCCCATTACTCACTGATCACATTCGAGTCGCGCATTTATTGGTTTCCCATGACCCACTGAACCATTCGGGTCGCGCATTTATTGGTTTCCCATACCTCACTGAACCATTCGGGTCGCGCATTTATTGGTTTCCCATGACTCACTGAACCATTCGGGTCGCGCATTTATTGGTTTCCCATACCTCACTGAACCATCCTGGTCGCGCATTTATTGGTTTCCCATACCTCACTGAACCATTCTGGTCGCGCATTTATTGATTTCCCATAACCCACTGAACCATTTAGGTCGCGCATTTATTGGTTTCCCATACCTCACTGAACCATTCGGGTCGCGCATTTATTGGTTTCCCATGACTCACTGAACCATTCGGGTTGCGCATTTATTGGTTTCCCATAACTCACTGAACCATTCTGGTCACGCATTTATTGATTTCCAATAACCCACTGAACCATTCGGGTCGCGCATTTATTGATTTCCCATAACCCACTGAACCATTCGGATCGCGCATTTATTGGTTTTCCATACCTCACTGAACCATTCGGGTCGCGCATTTTTTGGTTTCCCATAACTCACTGATCACATTCGGGTCGTGAATTTATTAGTTTTCCATAACTCACTGATCATATTCGAGTCGCGCATTTATTGGTTTCCAATAACCCACTGAACCATTCGGGTCGCGCATTTATTGGTTTCCCATAACTAGCTGATAACATTCGGGTCGTGCTTTTATTGGTTTCCCATAAGTCACTGATCACATTCGTGTCGCGCATTTATTGGTTTTCCATAACTCACTGATCACATTCGAGTCGCGCATTTATTGGTTTCCCATAACTCACTGATCACATTCAGGTCGCGCTTTCATTGGTTTCCCATAACTCACTGATCACATTCGGGTCGCGCTTTCATTGGTTTCCCATGACACACTGAACCTTTCGGGTCATACATTTATTGGTTTCCCGTAACTCACTGATCACATTCGGGTCGCGCATTTATTGATTTCCCATGACCAACTGAACCATTCGGGTCGCGCTTTCATTGGTTTTCCATGACTCACTGATCACATTCGGGTCGCACTTTTATTGGTTTTCCATAACTCACTGATCACACTCGGGTCGCGCTTCTATTGGTTTCCCATAACTCACTGATCACATTCGGGTTGCGCTTTTATTAGTTATTTTTTTAAGAAATATCAAGAAATGATCCACTACAAAATACACATGATTACCATGCCCTGGTGTGCTGTATTAAAATACGTGATAAATGGGCGAAGCAAGTGTGATAAATTGCAGACGAAATGGACGGCACGAACGTGATGATATGTGAGACGTGTTTGTGACAAATTCGCGAATGTGTGCGACAGAATAGATAAAAACCGTAATGATAAATACTTTTTAAATATTTTTTTTATATTCAATAACATATACACTACATACAAATAAATCATTATTGTTTTTGAAAAAAATGGTATTATGCAATATTATACATTGAATTAACGAAAGATTTAAAAATTAATCATGCAAATTGTAATATAAAATACACCTTTATACATGAGCTTACTATTTTGATCGAATTACACGAAACAGGCTAGCACATTATTTTGAATAAATTATTTTGCAAACTATACGACTCGAACATTAAGAAATACATATTTAGCATTTATTCTGAGTGCAACACAGTAAAGCATGTAAATGTGAGTAATTTTAAAGAATTTAGAACATCTGAAAAACACTTCTGACTATGCATATATTATTTGTATTCTACGTTAATAATAAACAAATAGAAAACAAAAAAACTAATGACAATATTGTAATTGAGTAGGAAGCGCCGAGATCGAATGAAATTGAATATTGACATTCATTTCGATAGCTTTATGTTATTATACCAATCAAATATACACCACACAAGTTAGAACTACTTGAACTAGACATTTGTTTAATTTATTTGTATTTTTGAAGATCTTGAATATGAGGGATAATTAACTACTGTTCATACTTCTTGTATTACTTGAATGCATACCGTAAACCAAAGAATGTTTAATATACGAAGTGAAGTCCAATACAAAATAAAACTTGTAATAAAATACAACAAAATGATTGACAAACAAACTGCGATGTAATAACTCACATGTTTAGCAATCTACATGACTTGAATATCTTGAAATACATTTCTGCATTCTATGAATTTCTGCATTCTATGCGTAACAAACAACTATGCAACTATGAGATTGTTAATTTATTATACAATCGCATATGTAAGTTGAATCTTTATATCTAGGATTGAGTGGTTGCTAACACAGAAAATTTGTTCCCCTGATCAGTAGTAATTTCAGTAAGAGGGATAACTGACAATATATCATAAACCTTTTTATCAAATAAATGTACAGATTTGATAAAACTGTGATGGTCCACCTGAGAGGCCACTAGTCAGTTTAGACCATGTTGTGCATAGTCACTTGTGTCTAATCGTGGTACATCTACTTTTAAATTACCAACAGTTCCTTGTATGTCTTCATTGTTTGTATGTATGGGACGCTATCACACGATTCAGTATTAGTGTCCATGAGTTTGTAACACATGTGCATACATGTTATATTTAATCAACATCTTCTCTTGTCACTAGACTTGTGTGAAGTACTATTATATGAGTTTGTCACTTGGAAGATGACGGTGTTCCAATCTGTTTGTGATGGTCTGAGTTTGAACAGCTTGTACTGTTTGTGTTCATTTGTTCCTTACCTTCATCATCTGTAATAATGATCAAATGGCACCGGCTTCTTGTGAACGCGTTGTATAGCACAAAATCAGTGTCAACATTATCAGTGGTAACATGAGTTGGATCAAGTAGTATCACAACCTTTGATTCAAGTCCATTGAATCTTTTAACAGTCTCCACAATAGCAGTGTCATCGCCAGCTTGTCTCTCAATGTGCTCATCTGCTGGCATACACCTCACATGTTTACGTTGCAGATCTTCCAATAACCAATCTCTAATTTCAACATTTGAAACAAGTAGACATATGTCTTTTCTTTTGACGCCACTTCCATCAAGATTATTCAGATGAGTAATTATTTTCTGACAGATTTCACGATGTGCACAACCTTTTTTTAGACTGCAATCCCACACCACTTCCGGACCAAGAATTTGGTGAGAGATTCCCATCATTTTCTGTTTATATCCTTTGTAGTGTTTGCTACTTAAGTTGAAGATGTTGTTTGTACTTCGGACTACCATCTGTAAATCAGTAGCTGATCGGTTTAACATTTTGATAGTAGGGTTAACATCACTGGATGACAAATGGCTATCGTCATAGAAAATCCACAAGAAATTGTAACTATCTCCATACTCATCAACCAGAGGAATCTGCAACTGTCTGATCAATACCAACCACATCCCATATAATTCCTGAGCCTCATCAACAAATATATGGTGGTATTTAACATTTGACTTTGCTTTACGCTTCAGTCTTGTTATGGCATCATCCACAGACTTCTCATTCTGATACTGCTCATGGTCACTTTCCTGATCTGTTGTTTTATTTATGTGAGAGATTAAATGGTCAAACGGCATCACAGTAACATAGTCTCTACCACAGAAGGCACACAAACCTGCACGTTTGTAGTCTTGTACAAACTTCTTGGACAGAGGAACGTTGTAACACAGGATCAAGGTGTGTTCACATCGGTTGTGCTCTCTAACTTCCCGTACTACATCATCCACTTTTAAATTCAACATCACAGTCTTGCCACTTCCAGCTGGGCCAGTAATATAATGCTCTTTAGACAATTTAGAATAACAGTTAAGTTGTTGTGGAGTTAAAACGAGTTGAAGTGTGTCATCTACCTCATCTATTTCTGTAGAAAGGTTTCTACAAAGACTAATTCCCGAAAACCTGAAAGAAGGAAAATCAATATTTAGTATTATCTTCCATGTTGTACTGCGGAATACAATATGATCAAAAGACCCGAGCTATCACAATTCATATTCATTATTAAAATGAAAAATGTTTTTTAATACTGAGATAAATTTAATTTTTAAGAAAGAGAATTGGATGTTTTTGACAAAATGCCGTTGTGCCCCCCCCCCCCAAAACATAGTAATGTATGGAAATGTGTGATATTAATATGAAAATTATTTAATTTTTCTGGAAACAAATTTTGTCTTCATGAAATTTAACCAGTCAAACAGAATATTGCTGTGTTGAATGTAGCTGATTAGTGTTTGTAAATAATGGAATTTTTAAATCTGTATTTGGGATAAGTGATTGTTGAGTAAATAAATAAATGATTGGCTACTATATGCTCACCTAATGATTAACTCTTTGAAGACATTTGAATCCATTTTCTCCCCTTCGATTTCAGTTATGTTTTTGTCCCACCACAATTTGAAGCTCTGTATATCTCTACAGTCTTCTTTAAAGCATGGAATCATATCTGCCGAGATATTGTGAATGCGTGGACAGTTTGGAAGAGCAATAACGCCTTGTCTCTTGAATATCATACCACTGGCCGTTTCTTTTAAAACATTTGGGCATTCTTTCGATGAAAGAAATTCCTTCAGAGCGTCTCTGTCTTTGTTTAGCTGATATACGGCCTTATTGAAAGCTCTCAGGTTATTAGGATTTCTACTTGCTTTGACTTGAATAAAAATCAAACCACAGAAGCGATGAATAATGACAAAGTCACATTCACCATGTAGAAGTCGTAAAGGAGGCCCTTGGCCAGTGCGTTTTATGCGTTCGGCAAAGCTGTAAGAATGAATAATGAACATATTCTCTTTATAATATCTTCCAAAATCATTGAGTAGTTTGTACATGTGATATTCAGCTAACTGGCCTGCTTCGTTCCCTGCTCGGTCTGAATCTCTAATTTCAAATGCGGGAGGGAGGCATTTTGGCTCATCTTTCGTCTGCCAGAAAGGATAATTAGTGTCAAGTATATTCTCAAGCTTTGCGTGCATATCTCGTTTTCCGCCATCCTTGATTTGGTCCAGTGGTCCAGACACAATAGGCGCCTGTCAAAGAATGTATAAAAACATAAAGAATAACTAAATTATACTGAAAAAATGTAAATGATCATGTCATTGTATTTTGTCAAACAAATATCCTATATCCTATTCTATTACCAAAAATCTTCAAAAATCTTGGAAGGAATAATTGAAATAAAGTACTGCCTAAAATCTGTGATGTGTGATGTACAACCCTAAATGTCGCACATCTTAGCATTCTAGGGCATATTAACGTCATATAACAACGATAATTTCCATGTGTTCCTTTGTAAAACTCGAATTCAGTGACAACGGCACGCATTTGATGTAAATGTAATATACAACTCACATGCTTCCGACGTTTGTGTCTATGGTGATGGCCACCATGTTTTCTTTGGCATGAATGGTGTTGACTTGCCATTTCCAACCTGTACAGTTAATATTATTATAATATAATGAGATTTCACAATAATGTTAAGAACAATGCCACCATCTATAAACTTAAAAGAGAAGAAAGGGTGTCATTACAAATGAAATAAAAAGGAAAAAAATTAACAATTATATTAAAACTTGAATAATAATAATAATAAACATCCGTCCAGCTACTTCTAATGCATAGTATAAACAAATCAGACAAGAACAATCAGACCTTATTTCAGCATAGGAACCAGGCCAGCAAATGGTATATAGCTGATAATATTTGGTAAACATTTCGAGCAACGAATCTTATCTATGCTATCAATATACGCCATAGCTTGAAGCGTCTAGCTTAGTTAAATAGTTACCTTGGACAATGATTACCAATTATTATCTACTAAATATCATATTTATCGGGCCGAGTAGCGTTTATTAATATACTATTTCAACGAATGGTAGATTTATGTAAACAAGATCCAAAGACAGTTAAAAACAAATTTAGACAAACGTTGAATGTCAGAAAGGGGTACTCCTACTGAATATTATAATGTTAATCAAAGAAAGCTTAGAAAGAACTCCCGTGTGCTGAGAATATTGAAGACACAGTAAAAATTAATTCAAAATTACTTGTACTTGAGATATTGATGGAATAGCTGAAAACTAATTATGTAAATCAGGTAACTGATATGAACAGATTTAAGTGTAAAACTAATAAGGTCTGCACAATGTACCTAGTTTCATTGAAATGTGATT